CATACTGTCGCTGGGCCTCCCTCCTTATCTGTGCATACTCGTTCTGGCTCTTCTACTAATCTCCTTGTTTTCCTGGGTCCTATGCCTCCTGTACCTTTTCCATTCTCTGTTGCACTTAGTTTTTGCCTCCCTACACCTTCGGGTAAACCAAGGACTCGTTTTGGTCTCCTATTATTTCCGTTTCCCTTGGGAACAAAACTTTCCTCTGCCTCCTTGCACTTTGATGCCACATATTCCATCATCTCGTTTACTGATTTTCCTACCATTTCTCTGTCCCACTGAACCTCCTGCAGGAAGTTTCTCATACCTGTGTAGTCCCCCCTTTTATAGTTTGGCCTTTCCCCTTCAGTTCCTGTTACCTTCTCCATTTGTAACTCTACTATATAGTCAAAACTCAGAACCACATGATCGCTAGCTCCAAGGGGCCTCTCATAAGTGTGTGTATGTGTGTATGTGTGCATACTCACCTATATGTGGTTGCAGGGGTTGAGTCATAGGGTGTGTGTGTATTTATATATTTATTTATTATTTCTTTCTTTATTTATTTGGGCCGCTCATTATTAATAATTTTAAACCATTTATTTACGACAGGGTGCGTGGGGTGAGTAGACTACGTGTGGTGGATGCCTCTATCATGCCTTTCGTCACCTCAGGTAATACTAATGCTCCCACTATTATGATTGCTGAGAAGGCCAGTGACATGATCAAGCAAGAGTGGAAGATTGCGGAAAAGTTCCATACATAACTAACACTAGAACCGCTGCCAAGGCTTGGTGTCACACACAGCAAGAAATGCAGGAACTCAAGCAACTTTATCCTTTATCTTATAAAATAGTACAACAGCCAGACAGACCTCAGCTCAAGATGCAACAATATGGAGAAATTTGAAAGTACGAAACCTGCAATACTACTGTTAGGACAATTCACGTCTAACTCACAATTTAAGGAGGCAGCTGGAGGATGCTTTGTTACATCCTAGAAAGTAAGTTTATTTAGGTACAAGTACATATAAGTACAATTATCATACATAGTGTAAATTAGTTATAACCCAAAAAAGTCAGACAAATTCACTTATGTATTTCCATTGGGGTCCTTGACATTATCTAACCTCATCAGGAAAGGCTGATGCAACTAATCTGTCTTGGTTTCATTGAGCAATATTGAAAAAACTAGCAGACCATGTGAGGGATAATTACATACAGCCTCTCTTCACATAGCGATGTGCTCATTTAACAACACTTGGGCTTAGACAGGCTTTGTGACCATATACAACCTAAATAAGTATATTAGAGCTGATTTCCTCTATTTCCTTTATTTCAATATACAGTACACTACTGTATAAAAAATTTAAAAAAAAA